TGGCTTGCTCACACATTTTGCCTGGGTCTACTGATATTCCCTATGGTGGGATGCGGTGGCTCAGTGGCTAAGATGCTGAGCTTGTCAATCAAAAGGTCGGCAGTTCAGTGGTTCAAATCCCTAGTGCCATGTAACGGGGTGAGCTCTGTTACTTGCCCCACCTTCTGCCAATCTAGCAGTTGAAAAGCATGTAAAAAATGCAAGTAGAAAAATAGGGACCACCTTTGGTGGGAAGGTAACAGTGTTCCGTGCGCCTTTGGCATTTAGTCATGCCAGCCACATGACCACGGAGACGTCTTTGGACAGCGCTGGCTCTTCAGCTTTAAAACGGAGATGAGCACTGCCCCCTAGATTCAGGAACAACTAGCACATATGTGCAAGGGGAACCTTTATCTTACCAATATTCCCTACAAGAACCTCCATAAATGTTCAAACTACTGAACAATTGCACTTATTTCATCTCCTAGTAAAAAATCCTCAAGACTTTACAATCCAGGCTTTAAGTACACAAGGGAAGGAAATTATCAAAGGCTTCAGAGGAAGCAATGATATCTGGGATCACATCGCAAATATCCAGTGGATAATGGAAAATGCAAGAGACTTCCCAAAAAATGTACTTTTATTTTATTGATTATACTAAATCTTTTGACTGCATGCAACCAACAAACTATAAATAGCCTTTTTTAAAAAGTGTACTAAACTTCTCCATCAGTAAAAAAAAAATTGTATAAGCAAGAAAATGGTTCTTGCTGGGAAAAGTTTTCATCAAGACTATATATTTTCTATCTACTTAATTTAGATGCAGATTATGAGAAATGCTGAAGTAGAAACTGGAATTGGAAATTGCTGTAAGAAATATTATCAACTCCAGCTTTGCTAATACTATTGGTGGCTGGAAGCTGGGAACACTTAAGGGAATGTTTTGTTGAAGATAGAAAATGCAAAAACTAGTGTAATGTTCATCGTGAAAAAAAACCCCTTAAAATTATACTAGCTGCTAGTGCCCACCTGATACAAATAGGTGAAGATGTTGTGGAAAGAATAACTGACTTCATCTTCCTGGGTCAAAACTCCACAGAGATGGTGATTCTAACCATGATGTAAGGAGATGTGACAGACATATTCTATTCTAACCATGAGGATCTCTTTTGCTGATTCCTCATTACCCTTGTGTTTGTGCAAGTGTGAATTTCTCCACACAGCACTTCCTTTTGTGTCAGTTTTCCTTAAATTGAATTCCGGAAACTCTATTCCCACAGACAGTTTATGGGAAGGTAGGTCAATGTGTACCTTCATTCAGAAACAGATATGTTCCCCAGAGAGGAAAAATGACCTGAATTGTTAATCCTGTAAATAAAATTCTCAAAAAGGAGAGCACTCTATTCTGTAGTAGTTAAACTTGGCAAGTTTGAGAGAAATATAAAGACTGTCACCTGAGATGATGGTATGCATAAAACAATTTTCTGAAGTGGGTTTTAAGGACTAAAATGTCATATTCTACCAAACCAATAAAGGCAAAAAAATTACACATTCACATCAATCCTAGTTTTGCATATTTTTTTGTGAACCCTTAATAAAACGCTCCTGGTATTGAGGCTGAGGCACCTAAACAGTCAAAAATGAAGTTTCAGTCACATCTAGGCTTAACCTTTTTATTAAAACCAGATTTTTAATAGCTACCTCTAATATCTCCATCAGGAGCAATTTCTAAAGATAACATTCCTCATGCCGTTCAAAGTAAAGGTTAAAGTTACTGCTCAAACAGGCTACTGAAAAAAAAAACGAATGACATTTACAATTCGGAATTTGTTAACAATAGCCCCAAAGATACAATGGAAAAGATTCCTCTTATTCTCAGCTTTATTTTTGGGGTATCCATATCTTTCCCCAGCTTTTTAGGGAAGATTATTCAGAAGATAGTAAGCTTACAGCTCATGGAGGACCCTAGAGGAAATGGATGATCTTTTTCAGTCAGGTTTCGGGTTATAGTACCGAAATTTATTGATTGTATGTGTTGATGATTTCTGGGAGCTCAGGATGGAAGATACACCTGTCCTCACCATTTTGAATCTTTCAGTAGTTTTCAATACCATTAATCATGCTACCCTTCTGGTTTAGGGATGTGGGGATGGGAGAAACAGTTTTGTAGTGGCTCTCTACCTCCTTTCAAGGCTAGTTCCAATTAGTGTTGGAAGTGAAGAATGATCTAACATTACAAGACATTTTAGGATTGTATTCTTTTCTCAGACCTATTTAATACCTACATGGTAAATATTAAAGGTCATCCACTGGCATGGAATTAAGTATTCTCAGTATGCTGATGAAAATACTCAGTTGTACATCTCTACCCAGGCCACTAAAATGGTATCAGCAAGCTTTTTTTCCTAGTGCCTGGAGTTTAGTCTTAATAAGATCAAGCAGTTCTGAGTTTTAGGGGCCCGGAGATTTTCTGCCTTTGACTCTGGACTGGATTAATTCTTACAGGGTTGTTCACAATTTGGGTATCTCATTGCTGCTGCTTGGGAGGTGCAGCTGTGATCAGGAGGGCCTTTACAATAACAAATGCAGTTTTGGGCACACCGTGTTAACACCACTGCATCATAAACTGCACTGACTCTCAGTAGGCTTCGGGGTACAATTCAAGATGTATGGGATTGCCATCTCCAATTGCTTCCATTTATCCTACCAAATCCAACTGGGTAGGTGTGCTCTGGGGCCCTTCTCTGAAATAATATAGTTTAGCAGGGCCCATGCACTTGCCTTAAAACGGGATTCCCTAACCCCTCCCACCTCAAATTTAGATGGCTCCAATCCTGTTAACCTTCTATAAAATCCTGAAAACCTGACTTTTCCCTTAGACTTTCAACCAAGTTATTAGATGAGCCCCTTATATAAGGATGGCTAATGGGTTTTCCCCCAGTTTAAGTATCATAAGTCTTGGATGCGTCGTATTAGTTATGTGTGTTTACTATGAGTTTTTGTTATTGTTGTAGGTAGCTATATTATTGCTCTTTTGTATTGTTGGCATATTTTCATGTATTGTTAGTTGCTCTGAATCAGTGTGACATGGACAACAATATGCTGATTAGAAATGAAATAGAAGTACTACCTTTCATATTTTCTGATATTAACAGGAATTCAACTGAGTGGAAAAGCCTGAAGCCATATTGGGATATTTTGAAAAGTTGCTAGAGAAACATTTCATTATTCATCGAGCATCTTGATTCAATAGATCCATTTATAGTTGCAAATTGAGATCAAAAGAGCTTGTGTATATTTGAACTGTATTTCTGTCATAATTATCAATATTATAAGGCACCAAGTTACAAATTCATTATAATTCATTACACAGTACATAATGAAGACATCAACATGTTTTATCTTTCATTAAAAAGATAGTAATAGCGTCAATGAGCAAAACAATCTATCTTGGGATGGAAGCAAAATTTTAAGTATTTAATTTTGAGGCATCCTTCTCAAATGTGGCGTCTTCCAAATGCACTATAATACAGTTTCTATCAACCCCCCTACCCAACTAAGTATGGGAGATTTTTCTAGAACTTTATTAAAATGCACATTTATAATAAGGGTAATACAAAAGTTCACTGGTTTGAAACTGTTTTATTAATTTGACCTGCTTTTCAGAATCTTCTCTGTCTTCAATGTATTTTTTGCATAATGCCATTGTTCTTCAGATGCTTGGTTGCTTTTCTCTCCATTGTCAACCTTCTGATATTTCAGATCAAGGGCCTTTTTCATTATAGTAGAAAATATGGATTTTCTAAGTAGTTTAATGCTGTTTCAGTGTAACCAACTTCAGAAGAATATTGTAGGTAGAAAACTGATGGAAAGACTTCTGAATATGACGTCTAACGTTGATTAAGAGCCCTGAGGTTCAAATCCATCTTTAGCCATTGAAGCTAAATGCCTTGGGTCAATTTCTCCCAGCTCAATCTTCCTCAGACTTGTTAGATGTAGGATGGGAGGGCAGGGGTCACTGTGTAAGAACTACTATAAGCACTGCTCAGAGATACAGGAAGAAAATGTGGGCATAAATCTAACAATGAACAAATAGTCTACCTCACATGGTGGAGGATAAAATCAGTTGGAAGTAAGAGTAGGATGAGTTGAACACCTTAAAAAAAATTTTTTTATGCCATAAGTATAGTATGATAGAAAGTACATAGGTTTGCTTCCTCTTTGTAGAGCAAAAGGTTGTTTCTCACTAAGGATAGATAACTTTGCTGCATGCCTTTAGAATAGAATAGAATAGAATAGAATTCTTTATTGGCCAAGTGTGATTGGACACACAAGGAATTTCTCTTGGTGTCTATGCTCTCAGTGTACATAAAAGATACATTCCTCAAGAATCATAAGGTACAACACTTAATGATAGTCATAGGCAGTAGTGGGTTTCAAAACCCGTCACTACTGGTTTGCTCAGGGACGTGGGCGCGCTTGCATGTGCGATGCTTCTGCGCATGCACAGAAGCATCCAGCGTGGGTGAACAGAGCCTCCTGCTGCCGCCACTACCTGGGCAAACCGGTAGCAACACACTACTGGTCATAGGGTGCAAATAAGAAATCAAATCATATTAGGAAACAGTCAATATAAATCTTAAGGATACCAGCAACAAGGTTACAGTCATAACTGGGAGGAGATGGGCGATAGGAACGATGAGAAGATTAATAGTAGTGCTGACTTTCTTCACAAGCCTGCGGAATTTCCTCAGAAATAACTCTATTCTACTCAATCAGACTTTCCACCGTGATTATGAAGATCACTGCACCCCTGAGGAATAAACACGAATATCCACTAGAGACCGAGTGCCTAAATTTGCTCCATGGCAGGTTACCCGATTTACCATCAAGTGGACCTACCCACCCACCCCCGCACGCACACACACAGAAAATAAATGCACACACTTTCTGCTGACGGAAGTATATTATTTTATTGCTCTCAAAAGATCAGAGAGGTTTACTGAGCGAAGCTCCTTTCCACCTCCTCCTCCAGACGCGTTTTGTCCCTCAAATTCAGGCGCCAGTCAAGCCAGCCATTGGCTTGGTTTGGTTTTTAAACGCAAGCCCGCCCCATTTATAAGCGCTTAATCAGATGTTTGGGGGACTCATAAAGGGCTTTTTTAAAAAAAAAGAAAAGAAAAGCCGTAGTTGCAGGGAGTTTTAGCAAAGCGCGGGACCATCCCAATCACCCCAGCCGCTTTCTCCGGCGTCCTCAACGCGCGAGCGTTTTTCTCCGCTGAGGCGCGTGGGCCTCGGCGTGGTTTGTGGAGCGATTGCTGCCGCGCAAGCAGCACCGAGATAAGCCAGGGGTGAAGGCTGGGGAATGGCATGGAGGCCCCGGCTTTTCCCTGGGTGAAAGACAGCGGCCCTACAGAGAGCCTGCCGGCTGCAGGACGACGGCCTGCGGGTGAGTGGGCAGGACAGCTGAAAAGTGGGAAGTCCGAGTAGATGCGGTAATGCTCGGTTGCTGCTGCTTCTGCCACGAAATAATGCAGAGATGAAACGCAGCGCCTTTGAAATGTCCCCAAGACTATCCCACTTCCAGAATAATTTAAGTGGAATTTGTTGTCTTCCAGCGTACTTTTAAGTGGAAAAATAGTTCCTCTGGTCAGTCAGAAGGCAAAAAGTCAGGACACCCCCCCCCCATTTAAATCATATTATCCTGCGGGGCTTGAGGTGATGAAAAAGCATTCTGGCCTAAACCCGTTTTCTCTTCCTGGCTAATTGTAATTCTGCCAGTATAACTAGGCCATTGACTGACGCTGTCCTGACTGGTTTAATGTGGGGACAGGATAGGGAATTGCTTGGGCTTGTTTCAACCATCAATCACTTTCCTCAACATGGAGCCCTGCAATGTTGGAGGTGAACACTTGGAATTGAGTGTTCGCCCCCCCTGTCATGTTATATTTGCAGCAGGTTGTGTGAGGTGAAGTGAGAGCCCCACAAAACTCCTGGTTGGCGCAACTCTTCCTCTGTAGAGGAACTGGTAGTCCTCGACTTAATGATCCCTGTTGAGCCCCAAATTCATGTTGCTAAGTGAGAAATTTGTTAAGGGAGTTTTGCCCCATTTTATGACCTTTCTTGCCCCAGTTGTTAAGTGGATCACTGCACTTGTTAAATTAGCAACATGGTTGTTAAGGGAATCTGGCTTCCCCATGGACTTTGCTTGTCAGAAGGTCCCAAAAGGGGATCATGCGACCCTGGGATACAGGAACTGTCATAAATATGAACCACTTGTCAAGTATCCGAATGTAAATCATGTGACCATGGGGTTGCTGCAACATTCATAAATGTGAAAAACAGTTATAACTCACTTTTTTCAGTGCCATTGTAACTGAATGATCACTAAATGAATGTAAGTCGAGAACTACCTGTTTGACAGCCAGGCTGTTTCTGAAGAGATTGCTAGCTTTGTTTTTTTAACATTTGGCAATATGTTAGGAAGTGCATCAAGCTTATGGCTCCAAAAAATATGTTTTCAAGAATGGTGACATCCAATTGATCAGACAGATAAACAATAAAATTAATCAACTGAAAAAATGTCACGATTAATTGGTGGAATATTTATAGATGCACTGTAATATTTAATTCATGCTTATAAAAAGATAAACAAAAGTTTAAACAAGGCATTCTCCCTTTTCTTAGCCAGAAGAATGGTGTTTCTCCAAAGACCAAAATATACAAAATTATCTCTTGTTGCTCTTGAGTGCAAGACACCTTTTCCTATTAGCCTGAATGATGTCCTCATCCTGGGATAGAAGTATGATCTTTGGAGCTTTTCCCTTTATTAAAAACCTACCTGGATTGAGTGTTATCTCTGAAATTTTCATAATTAAAAAGCACCTACTAGAAACTTGATATAGATAAAAGTATAATAGCTAGTCGTCAGGTAATACAAATGACTTTTAGTTTATAAATAAGTTCACATTTATGCTAACATTTTTATATTTATTTGTGTTTGGAAATCAAACTTGGATGTAGGAACCATATTTTCATCCTTGTAAGATTATGATGAAATAGACTCCCTGTGCTCATATTAAATTTACCAGCTGCTTTATCATTGAAGTTCAGAGTTACTGTTCACTAAATCTAGATTCTCTTAAATGTTCTCATGAGACAGCACTGAAGAGGCTTATTTTTGTAACAAGGAAATGAGATTGGGAGGTGAGGTTAATGGGTTGAAAGTTCAAGAAGATATAGTATAGCAACTTGACACATTTTAAGTACACTATCATGAAGCTTATCAATTAAAACTTTAAAATTATTTGCTGAATTGTAATCTTTTTTGGTACCTTCTGGATAATGTTAACTTCTAGTGATGGCCTAAACAAGTTCCTGCAATTTTCTTGGAAAGATTTCAGAAGTGGTTTGCCATTCCCTCCTTTCTAGGGCTGGGAGAGAGTGACTGACCAAGGTCACCCAGCTGCCTTTGTGCTTGAGGCAGGACTAGAATTCACAGTCTTCCAGTTTCTAGCTTGATGCCTTAATCACTGCATCAACATGGCTCTATATTGTAATTTCTGAGGGGAAAAAAATTCTCTGCATGTTCTATCTACCCTGTCTTTTCTGCTGTATCCCTACCAGTGCCTTAAAATACTATGATTTCTCTTGAAACCAGAAGACTGGTTTTTTAAAAAATAAACAGCATAAATTAATTAATTATGTAAGTTTTTCTTCTCTTGCCAAAGACAGCACAATTCCTGTACTGATTACTTTGGCCGTGGAGCCCTAATGAGTGGGAGTGATTTTTCCCTTGCCATAGTTATGTCAGCAACTTACAGCATTCTTTTGAAAGAGAGAAAAATATAGCAAGGCTACAATTCTTCATGGATAGGGAAATCACATGTACCATAGATTAGTACTAATTTTATACCATCCACTATTCATTATCTCCCTCCTGTACATGTAGAGGGAGAATACACAGACGTTATCTTACATATTAGGTATTCAAGGACAAATGACATTTATTTCACACTGCAGACAATTTCTGTCAAGTGAGATCCTGAATTTTGCTGACCTAACTTTAAGCATCTAGAATCATTTGGTGTCCAGCTATGAATCAGTTATAATTTTTCACTGATGGTAGGTTTTTCTTTATTGATATATTCTTTGCTTCCTGTTATAACTGAAAGTTAATTCATTTTTTCAGAATATACTTATTCTTAAAGTTCTTGCTCTCTCAACAGCTTAATATGATTAATATAGAAGACCACAACTATTTTCCAGTCCCCAGAGTTTGCATAGGAGCAAAATTACACCGTTATGTTTTCAGAGACTCAAGCCACCAATTTCACCTTTTGACAAATCCAAAATTCCCCATGCAAAATTGGAACCTGGCCCTCCTACTTAACTTTTGGTATATGGCCCTTCTTTGCCACATAAAGTCTGATGCAGCCCTTAAGCTAATAAAAGTTGGTCATCATCTATCGTAGCATGTAGCATAAGCCTATTTTCCCACGAAGAAAACCAGAAGGGAAAGGAAATATATGTTTTTAGCCACAATTACTCATATCACTCTTTCTTTGCATGTAATTCTAATCAGGAACATTACCAATATTTGCCAATCTAGAATAAAGGACGGTTATGTTTCAAGTATTAGTGTCATAAGTATGCTTTATTTTTCTGTCAAGATTATATTTCAGTTGTGCAAAACATTATATTTCCCCAGTTCCAGCAGTGGATTTTTAGCTATCTCTACAGTCTGTATACATCATTGTATATAATATGCTTGAGTACTGTGTCATGAATGCTGATTTCCCCTTCCTCTCATTGCCTTTTGTGACACTTAGTAACTTATGTATTTAATAACATATAGACTGTGCCTTTGTGTCATTCTACTAATTCACCACTGACATTGTGGTGTACTCACTGAACCTTAAGAAAAGAGGGGCCATTCTTTTTCCTCCCACTCCCCTCCATCTTTCCACACAGACATACAACTCATAGGAATTTATCATTATTTTCTTTTATTAGGTTTCTTAAATTTTATGTGCCTTCTTTATCTTATATACATTTAGATCTACAGCAAATGTACTACATTTTCATGAGACTAATTGGGTCCCTCATTCCTCCACTTTACATAAAAATTAGATATAGGTTATCTTTCAAGGGAGATGAAGGCTAATCATCCAGATAAGCAGAAGGGTAAGATTTGAAAAACCATTTGAAAGCTGCCCTTTGAATTCCTTTCCTTTTGAGTTTAAGATTATGTGGGTAAACTCAATACAACAATTCTTGGCTGAAATGGCATTAGGTTACCTACCATGCGGCAATTCTTAGATGCTGGCATGTGCAGAAGTAGCTTCAACTATATTGAAGCATTAAATGAAAAGTGGCATCTATTTTAATTTTTTAAATTAAAATTAACCTTAGCTGAAATAAAATAGTAAGCTCAACTAGTCATTTCTATGCAGCTGTGGCATACATGGATTAATGGTTCTTAAACTGGTGGTGATTTGGGCATATTCTAAAGATAAGAGTGTGGTGGCGCAGTAATTAGAATGCAATACTGCAGGATACGTCTGTTGACTGTTGGCTGCCAGCAGTTCAGCAGTTCAATTCTCCCTAGCTCAAGGTTGACTCAGCCTTCCATCCTCCTGGGTAACCCATTCGGGTAAAATGAAGACCCAGATTGCTGGGGGCAATATGCTGACTCTGTAAACCACTTAGGGCTGTACAGCACTGTGAAGCAGTATCTAAGACTTAAGTGCTAAATGCTATTGCTATAACAGAACAGTTTGTAATTGCTTGTTTATTAATCCAAGATCCAGTTTGGGACTGCCATGGACAGTCCCAAACTGTTGTGTAAAACAACAGTGTCTGGCTTTTTTGGGGAGGCAGGGCAACAATATTGGAGTCTGGGAAAAGGGGTGAACAATAAGAACCATTAACATAGATGGTGTCATTGTTTTATTTTTTTTTGGGGGGGGTGGTATGTAGAACACAAGGAAGACCATAAAAGTTTTATATCTGGGAGCTTTCGAAACAATTTGTTAAAGTGGCCCATAAGTAAAACTTCCTAATTTAATCTAAATATTCTCCTTAGACCATGCTATTTTTAGTGATCTTATTCGTTTAGTGCTTTTGTACAAAAATAATGTATTGTATTAATGTCTTGTAAGAAATCTCACTAATTTCAGTGGTGCTTAATTGTCAGTTAAGTACAAATAGAATTGCAGGTTAAGAGTGCAACAGGATTTTGATGCACATTCTTCCTCTTTTAATATATCTATCTCATTTTTCATCCTCTCATTGTTTGCATCTCTGTTGAAATCTATATTCCTCCCAGTCACTTGTTTTCCCCACATTCTCAAGTAGCTATCAAAATAGTAATATCTTCTACATTCTGGAAATTGCTACTGTATATGTCTAAGGTTTATAAAGATGCAAAAAGTGAAACAAGAAGAAGAAATAACAAATGAGGTCTCAAAAGAGAATATCAAAAAACCACCATGTGTTAGGAAGAACATTCATCTTTTTCAAAGACTTAACCATTGATGCAAACACATTTTAGTCCTTGTAGCTAAGAAGATACATCATTAATCTTTTTATTTTACTACTAAGAATTGTTATATATAGTCTCTTAAATCTGAGGAAAATGTTTAATTAATAAAATAACCCAAATTAGCAAAGCTAACGCCTATCTTTTCAGTTCAGAAGTTATTAAGAAAGATTTAAAACGTTCAAGCTTCTATAGCCCAAGACAAATTTATTAATGTCCTAATTTAATACGTTAATGGATTATGCTTTAAATACTCTGCATTCGTATGTATGCAGATGTGGTAAATATAACTAATGTTGTATAATTTTTAAGATAGTATTTTTTCTTAATCTGTTGTTTCTGATACCCCGGATCAGTGTCTAACATTATACTCTAGTAAACAGGTCCCTTTTGTGCTCATTCTGACATGCAGAAAAATTGCTTAAATACTTGCACTGTGTACTCCAGGGCACAACCACATGTCTCCCTAATAGGGGTTAATAATTCTTTGCTAATCATTCTTGAATGAAATGTCCTCATTTGAACCTTCTTTTTATCAGCATCCTAGAGCTAAGTCTGTTGACCTTTTCATTTATCCAATCCATAATTATTAATAATTGTGTTTATTATCTTCTCCCATCATAGGACTTGCTATATACACAGTGTACAATATTTTACTTGTAGAAGCTCAGGTTAGCCCAATTCCAGATGACTATTTTCTGTTGCTGTGGGAACCACTCTCCCCTAAAGTCAAGGGAGAGGCTATTTTGGCATGGATAGTAGGAACATTCAGACATCAGGTATTTGTCTGCATGATGCCTGAGTAGTGCTTTGCCAAGTGCAGGTCAGACATTATATGGTTCTTTTGTCATGTGTGACTACTAGACACTTTTTAAAAAATGCCAAAACATACCTGTATAAAATGGGGAAGCCACTTTGTAACACCTATCAACCATCCCTATCAGCAGTTCCTACAGACAACAAAAGAATATAACACAAATAGAAAAACAAAAACAAGAAAGATGAGCAAGTAAAAAAAATGAGCAAAAATGACAACCAAAAATGATAGACAGTTGCGCAAGACAGACAAGTGACAAGTGAAAGCAAGAAAGGGCAAATGAATGAGAGTAAGTGATAAAAGGACCTGAGTTACAATACAGCAGGCATGAGAACCGATGAATAAAAAAAGACAAGTGATGGAGAAAGATGAATGAATTGGAGAGAGTGTGCAAGTGATAAAATGAGCACTTGAGCAAGAAACAACTTGAAAGACACAAACAAATAAGAGACAGATGAGTGTTAGACAGAAAGAGTGAGAAGAATAATCCACAGATCATCCATGGGATATATAAGAATTTTGGGGCACAGCAGGATAGGTGGAAAGCTCCCATTCACCCCCTGGATCAAGTACTAAACTAATGGCTAAACCCTAGACAATAGTCTAGCCATAAATCAGACCTTACCTCTTCTCCCAACCTACGTCTCATGTGAGGGAGAGTTATTGGCAGATGTCCTTATTTTCTGCATGAAATCCTCAAAACACTGCATATTAACTTGCCTCTCAGAAAACTGTTAGGCCAGCACCATCTACCTCCCAATTTACCAAAGCACAGGAGAAATAGTTGTTGAGGGAGATTTATACTGACTTACTAATATGCAGTCTCATGGCTGGAGGAAAGCCTGTTAAACTGGCGGTCTGTAGGTGCCCTTGTATTTCAAGATAGGATTAATAAATATGTTTGTAAATTTGGGGCTCGTTCTTTTTTGTGGTCCCTATAGGTGAGAGATAGGATTTCACAAAAAGTGTGGGTTGGTTTCAGAGTTGTAAGCACATTTTCTACTTTTGTGGTTTCAGAATTCTTAATGTTCCAATCCTTTAATATGAAGTGAAATACTTTGAGAGAGGAATTTTGAGTTTGTATAAAAAAAGGCAAAGAATATTCCAACTCTTCATCATGTTCTAGCTTGGCTAAAGTTCTAGGAAATTCATACAAATAGATAAATTATTTTTTTCCAGTGCTAATAGATGGCTATTTTTTCCCCTTTAGTTAACTGTACAACATTGAAAAGCACTAAAAGCCTCTAAATTAATGGATTGCTATATTCTGGCCAACCTAGCAGTTTGAAAGCATGCAAATGCAAGTAGATTAATAGATACCACTTTGGTGGGAAGGTAACAGTGTTCCGTGTGCCTTAGTGTATAATCATGCTGGCCACATGACCATGGAAGTGTCTTAGAACATGCTGTCTCCCTCAGCTAAGAAACAGATAAGCACCGCCTCCTGGATTTGGCCTCCTGGACAGGGGAAATTTTTACCTTTTTTATAGGACACTATGGAAATTAGCATTGCTTGTAAAATTATTGGATTTACCCAAAAGGAAGACAATCCTGCATTTAAATCAACCCTTCAAAACAGAAGAGCAGATAGGGATAACAGTGATAAAACAAAACACAAATCCTATCTGATCTAGTGCCAAGCTTCTTTACTTTGTCTCATTTTCATAGAGTGAGTCCCTTTTTCATTAAGAGAGAATTAATATCTCTCTTTCAGACATATTATCTTCCTTTAACTAAAAGCCTAATTCAGGCAATTAATTCGTCTCTAGTATTCACTTTGTCTCAAGTACTCTATGAGTATGGTGGCTTGAAAATTTACTGTCTTGCATTAAACATCCTCCAGTACAAAGATAATTATTTTAGGAGTTAAATGACATCTTTTCAAGGAAATGTTGTAGTTTATTTGTTAAAAGCCAACATAACTCAAGCAATTATACAAAATATTCATTATTTCAAGCAGTTGTTCATAAAGTACTTATTTTGTAATGTATAGAAGCTAATAAAGCTTTGTGTTTTGAAAATTATTCAGTTGTGGTTTGAATCTCATGTGAATACAGTACCTCCGCTGTAAATTAAAGCACTCAAATCTTTTTTCAGGCTTCTACTTGACCCTGAGAAGGGTTGGTACTCTTCTAATGAATAGAATCATTAAAGTAATCTATAATAGAGCTCTGAAAGCAAAGGAATCTGTTTTCAGACTTGGGGGAAAATGTAAATAAATGAGACATGCTGGGCTCACGTGAACACCCGTCTCCCCTCCCTCCCCCAGAATTAAAGGTCTTCAGAAAGAAACATTAGCATCAGAGAATTGGGTGCTGGGTTGGATATGGAGGAACTCTCAGAAAAGGCAACTTTTGCTCATTGATTATGAATTGGGATTAGTGTCTGGACTTCATCTTTCAACTGAAATCTAAAGAGCAAGAATCTCGAATGACTATGGATTCAGCTGTTTCCACAACCACTGGCTGAATCAGTGGCTTCACATCATATAAAGCATAAAGATTCTCGTGTTAGGTTTGACAGTTCTGTATTTTTAAAGTTCTCAATCTACTTACCCATCTGGAATTTCTTGGTTCAAGAACAAGCCAAGGTCAGCCCTGATTCACTTTTTTTTTTTAATGTAAGGCTCATGCTGTGGGATGCATGTCAGGAATCTCCCTTATACGTGGCCTCGACTCAGCCATCTGAGAAATTTAGAAGAAAAAAAAGCCACTATGGGCAGTTGGTAAAAAGACAAAGTTGTGAATACAAGATCAGCATTTGAAGAATTTGAATCTCCAGTGTTCGAAACAGAGTTGAATGTTAACCTTTAGAGTAATTCCTAGATTGGTATTCAAATTAAGCCTCAAAGGAGCTTAACATAGAGGGAAGTTCTACCCCAAATTATTGATAAGGCCATTTTATGTTCCAGCCACTGTGTAAAAGGACTAAGACATAGCTTCTGAATTTTAATTTAATAGAATGCATTTGTATACTTACAAATATATATAGACACTATCTAAAGTTTGACAAAACCAGGTCCTCATATGTTAGCATAGTATGAGAGTCCTTAGATTCTTAGGAACTACAATTTATTTTTGACAACATGTCATTGCAATTTGTAAATATTTAATTTTACTTGTCTTGGATGGTTGAACCTTTTGATTAATATAAGCCTTGCCAGAGCTAGGATATTTCCTTTAGATCATTGAATAAATAAAACATAAAGCAACTTTTTAATTGGGGAGAAATACCTAATATGGCTTTGCTTTCATTCTAACAGACATAAAAGATAAAGAAGATGCAACATGGTATTTCAAAACATTGCAGTTGGCACTGGCTTTAGCAATTATCCGCTCCAAGCCACCAGATAAAAGCAGCAAAGAATATGCAGTGCACCTGGCCAATACAGTATCTGAACAGGATTCTAAATGGAAAATGAGAGTTGAAGCATTAGAAATGGAAGTTCTTCATTTAAGGCAACAGCTTCTTTTGAATAAATGTTTTTCTGGAATCAGTGTAAAAAACAGTAAGTTTCAAATGTATTTCTAGTAATTAGCTCTTTAAAAGTAAGTGTGTTATTCATATATTCGGGGGTTTATAAATTGCCTTGCCATTAGTGTTTGAGCTTAAAATGAAGTAAAGCAGAATAGACAGCCAGCATGGAAGACTGATGAGTTGCCCAAATCTCTTGCTGGCTTCACTGCCTTTTGGGCAGTAACAGGCTGCAAACTCCTCTAGTTTTTGGGATCACAATCTGTGGACCCCTGAAGCCTTGAATGTGCTTTCCAGAGTTTTTCCAAAAAATAGCTACATAGTAGCTATATATAATTTTTATATAACAGAAGTTGGTTACTATTAAACATACAATTATATCAATTAAATTAAATTAAATTAATCAGGTCAAGTTTTTTCTTGCCCTTATAGAATAGGAAAAAAAAATAGAATTCTTTATTAGTCAAGTGTGATTGGACACATAAGGAATTTGTCTTCAGCGCATAAGGTCTCAGTGTACATAAAAGTTATAAGTGATAAATCATGATCATAGTAATCATAAATACATTCATCATGAATCATAAGACACAACACTTAGTGATAGTCATAGGATACTAAATAAGCAATCAACATATTTGTTTATTTGATTATCCACATCTTTGAATTCACACAACTGTCCTAAAAGCCAGCCAGGTTTTGGTAATAATACACACCAGGTGGCTTCTCTTATCTGTGATCAGATCACAAATAAGAATAGCTTCAACAGAAATACCCAAAAGCCTGGAGCTCTGGAGGTGTGTTGACTGAGAGGTAGGGTTAAGAGCAGGATCTAAGACACGGGGGCATATTCCATAAGAGCCTATTTGTTGACTTCACCATACTTGTCAGCATTAGAGGCTTACATGTTACTCCATTAATGGAGAAATACATAAAATGGCCATACCTTTGTTAGACATAGATGAGACTTTGCAGACAAAAGCAGCCATTTCCTCTAAGTAAATGACACTGATTACTAGATAAAACCTTTATTATGATTTTTTAAAAATTGTTCAGTGGCATTGATTGAAAATCATGGAAGTGATAGGAGCTTTTGAAGCCTAATGTTTTCAATGAAAGCCTCCTTTAGGAAATTTTGATTCCCCCCTCAGGTCTCTTGATTTAGAGTCCAGTTCTCTATGCATTGTAATATACTGAGTGTCTAGTTTTCTTCTTGTCTTTTCAGGGATTCTGCCACTTACAAGCCAGTCTGTGGCAGGTTCTAATGCAACAGAGTGCAGTGACCTTTTTGAAGACTCTGGATGTGATATCTCAAGTGATTGTACAGAAAACCTGCCTAGTTTAAGCCTCAGGGGACAGGATTTCAACAGTCTGGGCCCTCCCGTTTTGTCAAATGTACTTCCCACATTGACTTCCAGCAAGAATCAATCTGTGATGCTGCACATGCAGTTCCTACAACATTTCATTGAACTAAGAAATCTGGCAGAGTCCAATAGTGCGAAAAAAGATTTGATGAAACTTGGAAGGGATTGCTCTGTGGTGTCCAATTCTTTTTCCCAGTTACTCGATGGTCTGGTTACATCATATAACCTTCCTGAACAACCCTTTCCAGATTTTATGGCTCAGGCTGTTTTTGTCATAGCTAAATTCTTAAATGATGCTGATTTTTCTTGTTGGATATTGGGAAGGTGTTTTAAAAAGTTGGAAGACTCTGTGGAAAGACTTGTACAAATTATTTTAAACAGCAACTATCTCAACAGAGTAAGTAAAATACATTCCAGGAATTACTGTATTTTTAAGTTTGCAAGAATAATGACCATTCGGTTGTATGATGCTTATTTATGTGATGTTAAACATTTTATATTGCTGGAAATTCTGAGCTTCCAACCCTTTGCATGAATGAGAGCATGGAAGGCAATGAGTTTGTAAATAGTATACAACCCATATGTATCTGAACCAGACATATCAACATATTACATTTACTGTTTAATGGACAGCCTATATTTATAGAGTGTGTACAGTCTATTGACAGACTCAGGCTGAGGAAACTTATGATTTTCTCATTAAGTCATAACTCTGGTCCAACTAATCTAGCATTGTCTCTGGAACAGCTACCCTAAGATGTCCTGGGAATTTAATGTAAATCCGCAGTTTAAAAATTATTACTGTCAGCTTGTTAAAATTGCAAGTTGCCAAGCTCCTCCTCACTAGGAATTGCGTCCCTAGGCAATCCATCTCACTAGGTTGCATCACAAAGCTGCACAGGAACAAATTTTGCTACTTACATAGGAATTTGTGGAGCCTGTGCAACTGGATTCATGGACTATAACCATTTTTATTGATAGATTCCGTCTGGGCAAAATGTATATACGTCATTGAAAGTTTGTTAACTATAGAGCAGAGTCTAGTTCATTTGTTCTGCTTGTAAAAGTTATCTTTCATAATAAAGAAGTGCTTGTGTTACATGCTCACATGCTTTTCGATGGTTCTAGATGAAACTTGCAACACATTCATTGAGCAGGCTGGCAATTTATAATCTGGTTAAAAGGTGCCCAAGAAGTACTCCATAAATATTATGCATGCATTTTGAAGATTAGCCTGTGTCATCTAAATTCAAATATTTCATAGTGCAAGAGAATCCAGCTCTTTCCCACTAAATGAGCTCAAGGGATGGTAATGTATCCAGGTGTTTCTACTTTCTGATAAGGACAGAATTTCAGCAAATGTCAGCGTTTGAAAATATTTTATAATTTAAGGGATGTGTTGGAACATAGTGAAAATCTGTGAAATATCCAGGATAGTGTAATCTTTATAGGTTTCCCCAGTCTTTCCTGATTATAGTTTAAGTAGGGTAATTAAATTTAGTAATACATTGTTCAAAAGTAATTCCTTTGCAGTTCCAGAAAATAGCTCTCTTTGGTATTAAATATTTACAGATTGAAGTCGTAATAGTTAATATTATGGTTTTCAACTATTAGATAATAGTTGAAAACCCTATTAAGTGGAATGATACTAATAATGTTTAAGAAACTTGGTAAAAGTATTTTATAGAACATGTATAACATTTTTTAATCTCGAATATAAAATTACCTGAACATAAAAGTTTTACAAGACTTTAATTAGATCTTGGCTTTGCTTTGTTTGGAGGTTGGTGACCAAAATATAATATCTAAACTTCAAATCACAATAGTAGAACATACCAGATAATTTTAGGCAATGAGACTTTAAAGAATCACTTTTGTCCTTGATTGTGAAATGATAACAAAGTATTCTTGATTCAAAAAATTATAGATTATTCCTCTATAATAGGAATTATAGAGGAATTATTCCTCTATTATAATATCTATAATAGACCTATTATAGATTATAGGTCATTCCTCTTGTGACACCTTAAATAAAGGAAATGGAGAAATAAATTGCATAACTATACAGAACATTTTTATAGACTGATGAATAGTAAAAGTATGGACAATAGTAGTACTCTTAAATTGCCTTCTTCAAAAGTCACTGTTTGATTAATGTTTTCAATTTCAGATCACTTCTATCAAGAGACGTCTTAATGTATTCAGAATAACAAATTTTAAAATCAATTATTTATAGATAGCAGTTGTTTTTAGTGGCAAATATGATCAGGAATATGTAATTTATACTAGGAGTATAATTTAAAAACAAACACAGATTGTCATTGTAAAATTGGTTTACTAAGGATATCCTTTCAGTCACTCTTTGTTTTTGTTTCTGATAACAAAGAGTCTATCTTCTTAGACTCAGACTTTATTTTATGAAGAAGTTAGATTTGATATAGCTTAGAATCTGCTTCCTATGTGTATTTAAAATAATACACTTTTGAGCAGTTGGGTTGCAACAATATTTGTTATCAAATGTTTCAAGGATTATGGGTAAATTTAAATTTTATGAATTTGTAGTGAGGAATCTTGCAAAATGGCTTCTAAAGAGATTTACCTATTCATAAAATGACCGCCTCAGAGAATATAAACAGGAACATCTGTGTTTTTGATTAGCTTAAGTGCCCTAAAATATGGAATACTGTAGTTATATGCAAACTTCTTCTGTTTTGAGATCACAGTGATTATGCAATCACTATTACAGGTAGTTCTCAACTTACAACTGGTCATTTAGTGGCCATTCAAAGTTACAACAGAACTGAAAAAAAGTGACTCATTACCAGTCCCCACACATAGCAGCATCCTCATGGTCATGTGATCAAAGCTCAAGATGCTTGGCAACCAGCATGTACAGTATTTATGACATACAGTGGCATGCCAGAGTCAGGGATTGTTGTTTGTGACCTTCCCCAGCTGGCTTTTAAAAAGTCAATGTGGGAAACCAGATTCACTTAATGATCATGTGAGTCACTTAACAAACAGAATAATACACTTAACAACAATGGCAAAAAAGGCCATAAGTGTTATAACTATTAAGTAAAGTAGAAGAACTTTTAAATTTGCCACCACTTAATTTAGTGTTTAAAGGCTGCAATTGAAAAATAAACAAGGAAGCCAGAGGAGGACAAAGTAAAGTAATATGAGATGCATTGCTTCTCCTGAAACATCTGCAGCGACACTTCTCACTTTTTCTTCTTGTCTTACTGAGATGTGGTAACCACCTGATCGTAAATTGGTGGAGGAGGTATAGAAGACTGATGTTCCAGACAGCTATTTAATTTTAAATGCAATTTTCTAATAATTGAAAATTATTATTATTATTATTGTTGTTATTCATTGCACAACCAGCCAGATGTTCAGACTGGGTTTGGCATTTTTGTCTACCTATCAAGACCTTCCCGCCTTTTGCAATTGAGTGGTGGCAAATTTGTCAATGCCAATGGTGTTCAAGTGGTCCTCCAGTTGTTTTGGAATTGCACCCAAGGTGCTGCTGCTGCTGCTGCTGCTGCTGCTGCTCCTCCTCCTCCTCCTCCTCATTATTATTATTATTATTATTATTATTATTATTATTATTATTATTATTATTTCTTCCTTTTGCAGAACACACCTAGGCCTGTTTACTTTTGTCCCTTTTCTGGGCTAGTGAGTACAGTTTCAAATAACACAGGATTGTAGCCAGTCCATCCTTTTTTCCCTCTAATAAAGTTTATAGAAGCCTCTAGGCATTTTGGGCCCTAGAACAGTGATGGCTATCCTTTTTGCCATCGTGTGCCAGGAGAGAGGGACGGGGGTTGCGTGCATGCATGCCTACACCCATAATTCTATGCCCCCCATCCACGCGCATGTGCGCACAACACCACCACCCTTGCTCCCTCCGCTCCTAGAGAGGCTCTGGAGGCTGGGGACAGCAAAAAACAGGCCTGGTCCTACCGGAAGTTGGCAAACAGGCCATTTCTGGCCTCTGGAGGGCCTCCGGGCAGGGGGGAGGCCATTTTTGCCCTCCCAAGACTCCTAGAAATGCTCTGGAGCCAGGTGAGAGAGAAAAATGGTCCTTCCTCACCCCCACCCCCAAGGCCCTCCGGAGGCAGGAAACAAGCTGTTTCCCTACTTCTGGTGGGCCCAGAAGGCCTGAAAATCAGCCAACCGGCAGGCACATGCATACTGGAGCTGAGCTCACGTGCCCACTGATATGGCTATGCGTGCCACCTGTGGCACACGTGCCATAGATTCGCCATCACGGACCTAGAATATTCTTTGAAATCAAGAGGCTTCCTAAAGTCTTCCCATTTTTACACAGGTTCCTCTGGATGTGAGTGTATGTTTATGTCTGGTAGGCTGGATACTTAATGCCAAGGAAAGCACTTGATGGCCATTGATGTTTAGAATCACTTATATGATTCAAGCTCCAGGCTGAGACCTATGAAATATTATATAAAACTACAGTAAATGAAAATGTTAATGACTACGTGTTAAGGTCATTTTTCTTGTAAATATGTAGCTAGAGACACCCATATATGTTCTCCATTGCGCTGGGGAGAGAGAATCCAGGACTGGGTGTTGCTCTCCTCTTCTGCCTGGAGACTGAGCCTGTCATCATTTTTGGTGATGCCTGATGATCTCCCAGCCCATGAGAAGGAGCATTCAGGTAGGACCAACACCCCTTTCAGTTTATGAAAATAAAGATAATCACCAATAAATTGGATGATCCTAATAGTGCCATTGGATCTTCTGTCTTTCAATCTGAAGTTGCAGATCAGTAGTTTCTCAATAAAATTTAGAATATAATAGAACTTATCACTTGACAAGTGACTTTACTTGAAGTCACACTTTAAGCATATATCTTTTTAATCTGGTTTGTAATCAGTTTCTGCATCAAGGTTATAAATGACATGAATATGTTGCAGTAGCTAGTAAAGCAAATTGTGTAGTACCAACCTGAGTGTGAAGAAATTTGCCTCCTAGGTAAAGCTCTGAAATTAAAAGCCCCAAATGTTACGTATTCCGTTGGAATCATATGCTAGCAATAACTTGCGAGATTGAAAAACAAAATATGGCTGAATTGTATCTGGTAAGTCATTGTAAACGTATCTCTTGAGTATTTTTGAAAGCCAATAAAATTCTTTAACATCTTTGGAGCCACTAGCGCAGACTAGATTTCTTTTAATCTGTTGGCTGGGTATAAAAGCAGTAAAACATCAGAATTTGATGTAGGGGCACTGGGGTTGCTGAAAGTTGCATTAACCTTTTATTCTTTCCTACTTTATTTGAGCTAGAGAAAAGAAACCAGAGAAATCTTGTTTGATTAAGGTCATGATTCTTCAAATTTAAATATAAATAGGTTTAGGATTATTTATT